CCGGGCCCCACGGACAGCCGCCCCTGGGATGGTCCGGCCCGAGCCGGGGCGCGGTGCTCTGGGGCTCATCAGTAGCAGAAGAAGGGAAATGCTCATAATGGTGTGATTCTAAAGGCCCATAAAGAGCCTCTTGGTTTAGCCCAAGCTATAGCGAATTGATACAGCTCCAGGTCTAGTCTGGAGGAGGTTCAGGGCTGACCTTATCGCTCACTGCAATTGCTCGAAAATAGGTTGTAGCCTGGTTGGGACCAGCGTTTTCTCACAGGCCGCCAGCAACTGGAGAGGAAATGGCCTTAAGCTATGCCGGGAATGCTCAGGTTGGATGTGAGGAGGAAATCCTTCAGAGAGGGTGATGAGACATTGGGAGGGGCTGCCCAGGTAGGTGGTGGAGTCACTGTCCCAGGTGTCTAAGAAAAATTTAGAGCCGTGGTCTAGTTGACGTAGTGATGTTTGATCACAGGTTGGATGCGATGATCCCCGAGGTCTTTTCGAAACAAATTGTTTCTGTGGTTCTGAGAAATAGTGTGGGTAAATCAGGAACTGGGGCTAAAATGCACACTCCCAGCTGGAGTCAAAATGATCGTATAGGAAAGGCTGTGGAGAGTCTGCAGGCAATACTGCTGACTGGGTGTGCGGAAAGGAGGAGTCAAATCTCAGACAGCTTTTAACAGGCTCTAAAATAAAAGATTACGTTTTAAATTGAGTTTTATTTTCTTCTGTTTAGACCTTCTACAGTTTGTGTTTTTGCGTGCAGCATGGCATGTGCTACTGCTATTTTTACTGCAGCAGAAGTTTTGGTATAACCCTGTTATTTCACAGGCTGCTTGCAGGGACTAAATACCCTATCAAAAGACCTGATAAAAAACCAAATGTGTTATATCATGATATAGTGGCAAGGCCAGCATATCCTAGCAGTGCACTTCCCAACAGAAGCCTTCCTGTGACCTGCTTTCTGTCTTGGTTACAGTTTGGTGCAACCTTCTAGAAGCTGGACTAGAAGGCTGCCTTATTCTGCTGAACTGCCCTCTTCTTTCATTCCCTCTTGTGCAATGAAGATCTTCATGAGCATTCTTCTTCTTTTCTTAAAAGAAAAATGGAAATATTTTTCCTCTGAATAAAAGTCTTGCCAGTGAAGCAGATGCATGGTCTTCTATGCCTAGATTCATCCCAAATTTCTGTAAATTTAGAGTTTCATGACAATGATATTATACTGACTTTGAGTTTTCTAGTGTTGAAAGCAGCACATCTGATACTCTGGCAAGGCAGAAGGCTTTGTGGTCTCTGTTGAGGGATAATAAATGTTGGATGTCAAGTACAGAAACACATACACAACCATGTATGCATGGTGGAGCCACCAATTCCGTTTACTCCTGAGTTCTTTTGCTTCCAGTAATGGCTAGAATGATTATGAGGAGCAGAAGAAAACAATAATTGGTGAGACAAATGTGAGAGAAGTAACAGACGAAAAGGAACAATTCCTTTTTTGTAGTTCCCACAACTGGATCCTCACCAGCTGAAAACACTCAGACGAATAGTAACAGTTTTATGAGGGTCAGTGCAATTATTAAAGCCTTTATAACAGAGAGCAATGAAATCATGAAAAAAAAAATTTGAAATAACTCCCATATAAAATGGGAAGGAGGGGACAAACATTGTGGACCTGTTGGCAAACAAATGTGATGCCAAACATTTTATGTAATAGAAAAATATTTCTTAGTACGATCTCCCCTTTAATGCTGATTTTACAGAAATTATAAATATCTTACATAATCATAACATCTTGTGATGGATAGAACCACTTATGTTTGTTTTTAGGCAGCCTAGTGTTTTATTTTACAGAATTACCAACTCTGTGTGTTTACAGAGGGTTGTGCCTGGTGCAAGCTCTGTGCTGAGTAACAGCTGAGTTCACATTACAATGTTTCTTTCAGCCAGGATGCATCTAGAGACCATTACAGACTCTCTTTCCTCTAGGGACCTATAATTCACATAAAATTTCTACCTTTTCCATACCAAGACATCTGAACAGCGCTACTAAGTTATTGAGGCAGTAAGGACAGACATACAGTCCTGATTGCACAAGCCTTTGTTGAGGCAAAAAGACAGGGAACAAGGTGAATATAGTGAAGTCTCGAAAGCCAGTCAAAGGAGGTTGACATAAAATAATCAGGGTATGTGTACTGCAAACTGGGCCCCTTCAAATGAAACATTTAGCTGTACAGCTACAAAACTAGAGGCATCCACATGTGTTAACCACTTGGATATTTTACCAGTTTTCAAGAATTTCCAGCTCATGCTTAGCTTGGTACTGGCACAGCTATTCTGCTGGCAGTATTTAAGGCACCACTGAAAAGGCAGTTGGATATCTGCATGACTTGCAGTATTGACAGGAATACAGCCAGACAGGACTGAAAGACTGAGCCTTTAGGTGTCACTGTGCTCTTAAGAGTAGAAATTAGCTCAACATTTTGGCTAGCTAAAAATATATTTTTTTTTTCTGATTGTAGAAAAAGCCTCATTTGATGACATGGGGAGTTTTCATCTTCAAAGGTGTGTGGAAATTATTAAGCATCAAAATCTATTTGTAAAGCTGTGAAAAAGGAGAGTGTTCTTCATGAAAGCCTACAAATAATCTGAGTTGAATAATAGACTAATTGTGCACGACTGCCTGTAGTTGCACTTGGTCTACAAAATGGATCCAGGGACAAAGGGATAATTGCGTGACTACCACATGCTGTCATCCTGCCTTTCTCATAGACACTTGCACAACTAAAAAGCATTCATATAACAATGTATCCTGAAAACACCCAGAATAGACCCTTGAAAGGTGACCTAACTGAGGTGTACAGCCACTGTCAGACAGAGGATATCAAGTATTATGTAGATCTTTATGAGAGAAAAATGTATCACAAAATTAAAAGTACTGGAGGTTGATGAATCTAAACAAGATGCAAGCTCTAAACAAGGAGAATTAACCATGGGAGTAAACTATCCAGGGCAACAGTTAATTTAGATTGTCAGAGCAAGACTGAGTGCCTTTCTGGAAGAGTCTGTAGCTAAAAGCTAAATATTTGGCTCGGTTCACTGGGGGGGGGGGTTAAATGGCTTGAAGTATGTTGAAATTGAGGTGAAATGACTGATTGATCTCCAGTAACCCTAAGCCCCATGATTCTACAAGTCATTATTCTCCACTGTAATCCCTTACATCATGACTAAAGCCCCCAGCATACTTTTGGCTAGGGAGTCTAGGCCAGTTTTGAGACCATTTGAACCTATTTTCAGCTGAAGATATTAAATGCTCTACACAGTCCCACCTCTTAGGCATGTTTAAGAGAGTTTAACCTTGAAATGTGTTCCAGTCTCAGGTGTAGG